CTCCCAGCCTCCCTGCTAATCTTACATTTTTGCAAAGTGAACAAATAGGTAGCACAATGTCAGGTAGTGGTAAGTGTTATTAAGAAAAACAAAATACAGTAAAGAGAAAAGAGTGATGAGAGGTGCCTTTTAGATGGGATATCTAAGGATGGCATCTCTGAGGAGATGACTGTGGAGCAGAGGTCAGACTGAGCGGTGTGTGTATCCGGGAGAAGAGCATCCCAGGAGAGGGGGAAAGTGCAGAGGGCTTGAGCTGGAGAACGTCTGATGGCTCAGAGAGCTGCGAGAGGCCAGCGAGGCTGAATCAAAGCAAATCAGGGGATTGGGAGGAAAAGAGATGGTGTGTATGCGTGTGTCTGTGCTTACGTGCGCGTGTGTGCGTGTGTGTGCATGCGTGTGCGTGTGTGTGTGTGCATTTGTGTGTGTAGGGGAATGGTCTAGATCATGTAGAGTCTTATAATGATCACTGGGTTTTCTTGGAAGATTATTTGGGGTTAATTGCCTGGACTTACACTCTAACATGAGCATGTAAAAATTATATGAATTTTAGATGTGTAGTGGAGACTGGCAAGATGTTCACTAATCCCATTTCCTCTTCCTAAAAACTCGGGAAGACGTTTCACAGCCTCTCTTGCAGTCAGGTTGGGGCCATGTGACTGAGTTCTGGCCGTGGAATGTGGGCAAAAGTGATGTCTGCCATTCCAAGCCCGACCACAAAACCGCTCATGTGCTTCTGCGGTGATTGTGGAGGTGAAATGTTGAAAGTGGTGGCGTCACACAATAAAAGGAGCGTGGCTCCCTGAATCACAACTCAGAGGAAAGTCAACAAAGACAGGCACCTGCCCATGCTGGATTGTGACACTGTTCAAGGAATAAATCTTTTTTAACTGATTGAGATTCTGTGGTTGGTTGGTACTTGTGGTTGCTTGTGATTGTTTCTGCTTACTCCAACATGTGATCCACATAGAAGGGATTACCAAATACTGTTTCCTCTCTTCTTTATAAATGTATAAAAAAATACTGTTCTATGTGACTTCACAGTTGGGATCCATTAGAGCACAGAAGGGAGCCCTGGTGGCACACTGGTTAAAGCACTCACCTGCTAACAAATGGTTGGTGGTTCCAACCACCAGCCACTCCATGCAAGAGAGGTATGGCAGTCTGCTTCCATAAAGCTTACAGCCTTGGAAACCTTGTGGGGCAGTGCTGCTCCGTCCTGGTGGGTCACTGTGAGTCGGAATCACCTTGATGGCAATGGGTAGAGCACAGAAATCTCAAGGTTATTTCTACTTTGCTATTTTCCTCCTTCCCCTGTACGTCTCCTTTTATTTAATGATTAAATCCTGTTATTAGAAATCCAAGTGTAAGCCTTGGGTATTTCTACTTCTAGGAGAAATAATAATTCAACATCTGTTAATTCCTTATTCAGAGCTACTTAGCCTTCCCTGTAGTTTGCCCTCTCCTTCCAGATATTGCCTTATCACAAGAAGAGAGACAGATTTTCTGTTACTACATGTATTTTTCAACCACAATACTCCTCATTGATGTGCATGGGGAAACGGCCTAAAGTGTGACGCTTCCTTGGGACATTTCATGGTCCAGAGACACAAACAGCAGAAATCCTTCAAGAGTCAAAAGTGCACCACCAAAGACCTTTCGCAGTGAGCTGAGATTCTTCTCTGGTGGGAAGCACAATACAGATTCTGTCCATCGGTTTTTCCTGGTGGGCCCATCTCCTGGCCACACTGCAGCTTCCTCAGTCGCTCTCGGCGTCTCCCTTTTTTGAATCTACGGTTCTCTTGAAGTGCCCATGGCAGATCACCACTCTGCCTCTGGCCCATCCTACCACCCAAGGCTCCCAGGGTCCATGAGGGACCCTCCTTCCTCCCACCACCTCAGAGGGTCCTTTCTCCAGGCCACGGTCACTTCAGGTAAGTATGAGCCTCAATATTTTCTCTCGCTGAGTAAAAAATCACCACAATGTTAGCAGTTTAGAACAACACTTTTATTATCTCGCAGTTCTGTAGTTCAGAAGTTTGGTGGACTTGGCTTGGTTCTCTGAGTAGGGTCACAACAAAATCACGGTGTATGGGCCATGCTGAAACTCTGACCCAGAGGTTCTGGGGAAGAATCCTCTACCAACCTCATTCAGGTTGTTGGCAGAACTTGCAGTTTTAGGAATAAGGTCGCCATTTCCTTGCTGGGTGTTGGTGAGAGGCCATCTCAGGTCCTAGATACTACTCTCAGGTCCTGCCCCATGACCATTCACCCCCCCACATCTCAAAGCAAGCAATCCTCCCTCATGTCAAATCTCTCTCACACTTTGAATCTCTGTTTATGCTCTTTGACTTCTTAGGCTAACAGCAGGAAAAACTCTCCTTTTAACGGCTCATATAATTAGATTTCCTGCCCGAATAATCTCCCTTTTGATTAGCTCGAAGTCAACTGATAGTAAACTTTAATTACATCTGCAAAATCTCTTTTGCCGTGTGTAGTAAAGAAGTTACCCTTACCCCAAGAAAGGTGTGGCTTTTGTCCTGGGCCCCTAGGAGGTAATCCCTAAGTCCTTGGAATGTCCTGCTTGGTAAAAATGTCCTTATTTATCTGTGGGCTTTAGACTATACCAGAAGGTCTAACCATGTGATTTATGGTGGGAGCTTTGACACATGTGGTATCAGCTTGATGGGAGGGGCTGCAGACCGAGGCCCGCCATATGGACAGTAAGCCACAGAGCCTTAATAAAATCTCTGGACACCAAAGCCTGGGTGAGCTTCCCTGGTTGGCAATATTCTGGGTATATTTGCCACACATAATTGCCAGGAGAGTATCACTGCCCATGATCCCACTGGGAGAGGACAACTGGAAGCTTCCATGCGTGAAACTTTCCTGGACTCGCCCCATTCATCACTTCCCTTGGCTGATTTTAACCAGTATCTTTTCACTGTAATAAGCAGTAGCATCAGTGTAACAGCTATCAGAGAGTTCCGTGAGTCCCTCTAGCAAATTACTGAACCAAAGGGTGATCGTGGGGACTCTTGAGCTTGCAGTTGCTGTCAGAAGTGAACGTGGTCTTATGAACTGGCTTATCTAACTCCGCACTGTGTAACAGAACATCATAACGGACATAATATCTCAAAATATTCAGTCTCCAGGATTGAGGTGGAAAATTTTGGGGGGCATTTTAGAATTCTGTCTACCAGTGCCTCTTTTCAAATCAATTCTGATTCAGTTTTTTTGACCCACAAAGAAATTTTTGTGTTTTATTGTATTGTTAGAACATAATTTATAATTCAAAGTAAACACAGAAGTACATTGAAATAGGTAAAAATCTGTAATCTCACTTTTTAGAGAACCTTTGAGGGCTTATACTTTGATACAGAGGGAAGATATTTTTGTCCCAATCATCTTTTTCCTGTTGAGGCTGGTAGAAGATGAGATCCAAAATGTAAATTCTATTATACTCCACAAGGCAGAGGGTTCCCTTTTGTTGATTACTGGTATACCAGTTGACGCCTTGAACCTAAAAGGCAGTGCAGCATGTATATTTCAAATATGTTACTTCATTATTGCCAGAAAATATTGTACTGGTCACATTATTCTACATTTCTAATAAACACAGTTCTGGGTTGCAACAACACATAAAATATTTAAGAATCAACTCCTTAAATATCTAAGATACTAACCAGGATGATGTACCAAAATTTGAGGAACAGTTAGAAAACAGAGGATATTTAGTGGCCAAGTAATTATAGTCTTTACATATTTAAAGAAGCACAGAAAGGGGAATATATTATTTTATGTGTATCTAGTAGGTAAGTCTAGGACTAAAGGATAGAAGTGCTAAGGAGGTCTATTTCAGTATATAGGAAGACTTTTTCTTAAAAAAAAAAAATAATAATAAAGCTCCCTGAGCAAGAGTTTGCTCCCTGGACAACTAGTCTGTTTCACCCCAGTTGAAGCATCCTGACGGGGAAGTTTAAATTCCATGCTAGGAGTGCTATAGATTAGGAGTCAGTCAACTTTTTACGTAAAGGTCCAGATAATAAATGTCTTCATCTTTGTAGGCCATACAGTCTCTGTTGCAACTACTTAGTTCTACAGTAGTAGGGTAAAAACAGTCATCAACAATACATAAATGGATGTGGCTGTGTTCCAATAAAATTTTATTTACAAAACTAGGCACCAGGCCGGATTTGGTCCATGGGTTATGGTTTGTGGCCCTTGATATCATACATTGCCTGAGTTGGACAGGAAGAGGACCTAAATATTGATCAAGTCCCTTTCAGATCTAAAACGTCAGTGTTGTATATTCTTTGACTAGAGTAAAGGAAGGCATTGATTGCACTTACTAAAAAGTCCTTCCAGAATGAACTATCCTGACCAAAACCTGTTGCCGTTGAGTCAATTCTGACTCATAGCTACCCTATAGGACAGGGTAGAACTTCCCCATAGAGTTTCAAAGGAGCATATTTGAACTGCTGATCTTTTGGTTAGCAGCCAAGTTCTTAACCACTACGCCACCAAGGCTCCATACCCACCGTTTGCTCAGTTATACCTCCAGGCAACTCTAATGGAAGAACTCCAATTAGATGAGCTTTAAGCTACATCACTCCAGATAACTGGGGATGTTACAAACATTGTAAAGAATGGAAACCTGCTCATGAATTAAGAGCTCGGCTGCTAACCAAAAGATCAGCAGTGCAAACCCACCAGCTGCTCCTTGGAAACCCTATGCAGCCATTTTACTCTGTCCTATAGGGTTGCTATCAGTCGGAATTAACTTGATGGCCACAGATTTGGTCTTGTTTTGGTTAACATGAAATAGTTAATCTATTAAAAAAGATCACTGAACACAGGGTTGGGACATTCACGGAGTATGTTAACAGGGCAAAAAGTTGAAACTGTTGGCACAAAACCAAAGTCAATATTGAAGCCAAGCAGATATTGCCTGCAGTGCCACATCAGGAAAGCTCAAAGACCATCCATTTTTGAATGGCAAGAAGACACTCTCACCTCCAGAGCCACAGAAGAAATTAGGCTTTCAGGTAGAGAATTTCTATTATTCTGATTGCTTCCAAATAAAGTATTTTTTTTAAGAATTTAATTTTTTACTTGATGAAAAAGCTTTTATGTTCTAATTTCCTGAGTATTTAGAGAGTCTAGAAGGAGCAGATTTTCCTATATATGAAAATATTTAAGTATAAGATATTTTAAAACCAAAGATAATATTTGACCAGTTCAAAAATTAGAAATGGGCTTAAGTATTCTCAGAGCTTTTCTTTACTTCGGGGTTCGAGACTGTGTTATTGCTATTATTTACGATAATTTTATTTGTGCTAAAACCAGTGGTTTCACAAATGTTTTCTTCCTCTCCACCCAATTAATTCCCTTCCCGAAATTACTAAAAACATAGGATGCAAATCAACAACAAACATATAGTAGTCTAGACATCTTGATTTGTATCTTGGGAAACGTTCTACATTTCTTAAGTCTCTCGGCACAAAATGTATGGAAAACTCTTGTTCTCTGTGCTGGTAATTGTACACTTAGATTTGCAATTCAGACATTTATATATATATATAAAAAGTCTATTACATTAAGTTTCATATTAAGTATGGTCTACAACCAGCAGAATCATACATGTGTTGTTTTCTTTTTTAGAATGATTTCATTATGGCAAATGGCTTATTTCACTTCCTTATTTGCTACAGTTTCCTGTGGTAAGTGGATTATCTGCAAGGCATAAAGTTAAGGGGGTGTGATAGAGGAGTAGTTAAGTAAGACACTCCACCTTTGGAGAAAGCTATTGAACACTCAGCTTCCGGAAAGGAGAGAGCCCTTGATAAATCAGGACACATGTCCTTTTAGCGTTTGGAGGCAAGTACCACTTCCCGGATGTATTTTCCCAGATAACCTTCACAGACCCAGGGGAGGAGTCCAGGAGTGCAGAATGGCGTGGAACTTAGGCTAATCAAAACTACTATTTGGAAAGGACTCTGCGCAAAGCAGATCTAAAAGCAAAAAAAAAAAAAAAAAAGAAAAATCAACCCTCCATTTTTATTGTCAACATTTTTAAATAATCAACTTTGTGTGAATGTTCAAAAGAGTGCCAGGTGTTTTATAGTGTCATGATAGAAACATACTCTGTGCTTTTAGGCCACTGGGGAACCATTTCAAAAACTAAAGTGTCTGGTTTATATTTAATTTACTAAGGCTATCCATTTGAATATTTCTGATGAAATATTTTTCCAACACCAGGTTTTGATCTTATTCTGTCCCTATCCATTCCATTCATTTTCTGAGAATAAGGATGGTTCTGGACACTGGTTTTCATTAATCACTGCAGACTGAGTTTTCTCTGCATGTCCACTCTGGGTGGATTTGAGTCTGTGTTGACGTAAGATGATTGTTTACTTACCTCTCAGATGTATGGCTACAATAAACATCTCTTGGGCAAGGTTTACATTTGTAAGAGATCTAATTTCCTCAGTGAGAAGTTTTTTGAAGGTTTTTTTCCCTAAGTCACAACTCCATTCCATTTGTCCCTCACTCCTAATTGCTCTTCTGAACCATAATCAGCAAAGTACAAATCCATTCAATGTTGAGAAGGAGTAGAAGCCAGAGATACGGTGGACTATGGCCACTTCAATTCTATTTCTTGGCACAACACAGCTCATGATCATGCTAGGAAGATTAGAAAGTGAAAATAAGCAGAAAATGATAAACTATGTATTATCCGTGGTCCCGTAATGCAGAAATAGCCGCTACTAAAAATCTTTTGTTTAGTCTTTCAAACTTTTTTTACATAAACCTATTTACATGTTTTACAAAGATGTTAATTATAGACACTTCCTTTATAACTTATGTTTTCCTGTTTATGACTATCTTTTAACACCTATATATATAGAATGCTTAGTATTCTTCCCCGTTATGGGTTGAATTGTAAAACCTCCTCCAAAGGTATGTTTTTGTCTTAACCCCCATACCTGTGAATGTGACCTTATTTGGAAATCGGGTCTTTGCAGATGTAATCAGTTAGTTGACATGAAGTTATACTAGAGCACAGTGGCCCCTAATCCAACATGACTGATGCCCTAAGAAGGGGAAGAGGAACAGAGGGAAGACAGCCACGTGGAGATGGAGGCAGGAATTGGCTTTATGTCACCACAAACCAAGGAGTGCCTGGGAGAGCAGGAGTTGAAAGAAATAAGGAAGGATTTTCCCCTAGAGCCTTAGAAGAAAGTATGGCCCTGACGACACCATCAATTCGGATTTGTATCCTCCAAAACGGGGAAAGAATAAATTTCTTTCACCTAAGCCACCTGAATTGTGATGCTTTGCTGTAGAAGTCTTAGGAAACCAATCCATTTCCTATTTGTACTCTTTTGTATGCACATTCTTATGCATATACTCACTTATTTCTGCTGAATAAATACTTGAAGAAAAAAAACCTAGATTCAAAGGTGTGGATGTTTTGGAAGGTTTTGTTACCCTTATTATGAAATTATCTTCCAGAACTTGTATTGCAGAGTTGACTTTTTCCGGCTGCATATGAGGTGCCCACTGACCCACAGTCAGGCCAAGTTTCACAGCCTCTGTTGCGCTGTGGCCCAGCACACACTCACCTTGTCTGGAAACAGTGTCCTGACTTCCTTCTGGAAGCTGCTTGCCTCCCTGTTTTGGCCCTTGTTGTTCTGGTGACGCTGCCCCACTACCGACTCGGGGGCTAGGGCGATGGCCACCAGGCTGACCCAGGGGCACACATCCCTCTGGCCATGGTGACCCCATCAGAGCCGAAGCTTTTCAATGGGACTTTTGCTCAGACTTCTAGAAATAAAACTTTTTTTTTTTCTTCCAACTGGACTTAAACTATGAGAGAACGCAGAGGCCTGAGCCACTGGTACCATCTGGCTAGTTTGTGGAGTTTGAGATCAACAGCAGCACCATACCCATTGCTGTCAAGTCGATTCCGACTCACAGAGACCCTATAGGACAGAGTAGAACTGCTCCATACAGTTTCCGAGGCTAGAAATATTTACAGAAGCAAACTGCCACGTCTTTTTCAAGCTGAGTGGCCAGTGGGTTCGAATCGCTGATCTCTAGGTTAGCAGCAGAGCACTTAACCACTGCACTACCAGGGCTTCTTAGCAACACCATGGAACAGAGCACAGGGACGAAGACAAATTGTATTCTGATGAGATCAGTTGAGCACTACAACCAGTCCAGTGACTCCTGAAGCCGGGTCCACCGTGGGCCTTTTGGTTTCTGAACCAACGGATTCATTTGTGCTTAAGCCACTTTCAACTAAGTTTTCTATCGCTTGCAACAAAAATCAGTCCCTCAACACTGGTTATTTACATAATTTTAATTTTTGCTAGTCTGGTAGGTAATATGGCATCTAATTGTTTTAACTTGCCTATATCTGTGATTTTTTTTTTTTACCACTTTTCATATACTTACTGTTGTTATATACCGTCAAGTCAATTTTTAAGTCATAGCTTATAAAAACTAAACATATACTGGCTCGTCTGGACTCATCTCTAAAGTAATAAATACCCAAAACTATTACTTTGCTTGAATTAAACTGAGGGTGAGGACAACATTAGAAAAAGAGAAGACAATTGGGAGTTGGAAAAGCTGAATCCATGCCCCAGGGCATTCATCAGCTGTGTGATCTTGGGCAGGTCTCTACCACATTGAGACTCAGCTACTTCTTTAAAAAATAATCAGAGCAGATAACAAAATCTGCCTTTCTCTTCTTGGAGCCCTGGTTGTGCAGTGCTTAAGAGCTTGGCTGCTAACCAAAAGATCCACCAGCTACTCATTGGAAACTCTATGGGATAGTTCTACTCTGTCCTGCAGGGCTGCTATGAGTCTGAGTCGACTTGATGGCCGTGGGTTTGGTTTTTGGTTTTAGTTCCCCTTATGGAGTGGTTGTAAGAATCTATTGGGGATGTTTGGTGTGAAAGAGTTTTGAAAAGCAGATCATACATCATTATATGTAAGGCATAATATCTTCATAGCATATTAGCTCATGGGGAGAAACCAAGCCGAGGTTGGATTTACTTGGAGACAATTTATGTGCAAAATGTTCATATGATTTAGTAAAAATCAACCAAGTTTTTCAGACAGAAGCACCCAGAAAATGACATTAAATAACACTGTATATTATTTGAAGTATTGCCTTAATACCTGTTTCATTCTACCTCTGTTGTTAAAGTCATGTTGGATATTCAGCGGAAGAAATTTCAGAACACAGATGCATTTCTAATAAAATTATTATTTGCATCCATTCCAAATTAATTTTTTTTTAATGACTGTATCACAGGATGCGTGACTCAGCTATATAAGAATACCTTCTTCCGAGATGGGGACGTAAGCTCCACGTACAGCCCAAGCGCCCAGCACTGTCAGATGATCTGCACCTTCCACCCCAGGTGCTTATTTTTCAGTTTTCTTCCTGCAAGTTCAACTAACGCCACAAACAAAAGGTAAACGTTGGCATTTCATTATTGTTTTTAATTGTGCTTTAGAAAGTTTACGGAGCAAATTAGTTTCTCATCAAACAATTAATACACGTATTGTTTTGTGACATTGGCTGTCAACACCATGACATGTCAACACCCTCCCCTTCTCGACGTTGAGTTCCCCTCCTGCCTTCTTGTCCTTGCCCTTCGGCTGTTGTGCCCATTTAGTCGCATTTTATTTTATGGGCCTGTCTAATATTTGGCTACAGGGTGAACCTCGGGAGTGACTTCATTACTGAGCTGTAAGCGTGTCTGGGGGCCATACTCTTGGGGTTTCTCCAGTCTCTGTCAGATCAGTAAGTCTGATTTTTTTTGTGAGTTAGAATTGTGTTCTACATTTTTCTCCAGCTCTGTCCAGGACTGTCTGTTGTGATCCCTGGTATTTCATTATTGAAGAAGCCAATCGCTTTTCAAAATGGAATCTGTCTTGTGCAAAAAGTTTAGCTTATCACCGGGTTACGTTTCTCAGACGAGATTCAAGGAACGGGGTGGTCAGAATCACCTGGAGTGGCTCTTGCATATGCAGATTCCTAGGTCCCACCTACCGAACCAAGGTCTCTGGGGCCTAGACATATGAATTTTCAACAATCGCTGCATTCACTTAAAGTAGTAGAAGGTAATTGTTTTCTATCCAAGGACACAGGATCTCAGGAAGGGGCCTGATAACAGGCAAATGTTTCATGTGAACAAGGAAACATATTACTGTCTCATCCACTATGACATTTGTATATAACACAGTCTTAAAATAGAACCTAAGACAGCATTTTGTTGAGAACGTAAGTGGGTAAGATCTAGAACTTGTGATGTTGGGAGAGAGCAGCAGTGAATGGAGGCCTACCTTGGTAGACCTAGGGGGTGTGTGTGTGTGTGTACAAATATACATGTGTTAACTGATTGGTTGGAAAAGTAAGAACATTGGAAAAATTGTTGGTGACTAAAAAAATTTTATTAGACCATGAAGATGCCTAAGTACAGCCATAGTCTCACCTCGATTATCTTTAATTTTGATCAATATTCAGAATGAACTATTTTTTGTTGTTCCCATTTCTATATTTACAGCTCTTTTCTTTTATCTTCATCCTGTTTGACTTTAAGAACTAGGAATTACATAATCATTGCCTGAACAGACATGTTAAACTTGTACAGAAAACCTAGACTGTACCTCAGAGGCACCGTGTTAAACGTTGAGTTTGGTTCTAGAATCCTTGTGAATAATGAATTTAACATTTAAATTGATATTAAATATCAAAAGAAGTATTGCATTAGGTGCAGTCTACAAGGATTTAATAAACAGAATGAGCACCATATATAGACTCAACTTTCCCGACTAATTTATCAAGTAAAAGAAAAACCAAAAAAACATCCATTGCTGTGGAGTCGGTTCTGACTCATAGCAACCCTATAGGACAGAGCAGAACTTCCGCATAAGGTTCCCAACGAGCGGCTGGTAGACTCGAACTGCAGATCTTCTGGTTAGCAGCTGAGCTCTAAGGCATTTACAAAAATTATCAACAGATGGCAACAAAATTCCCTGGAAGTTTTGGAGCAAACTAAAAATCATTAATTCTTTAACCTGGTTGATTTTCTGCACTTAAAAATGTGAGCGTAAAGAAAAACATCGTCCAAGTTAGACATTACAAGGACTGTGGGCTATTAGGCTATTGCCTCTGGAAGGTAGTTCTCAGCAAGTGTCAGGGAAACTGGTTTTCTCCTTACCCCTGACGCACTCGCGCACAGCGAACGCTAGCCGTTACCTCCACGCTTGTTTATTGTTCTGCTTTCTGAGTGAAGCCAATTTTAAAAACAGGTTTGGTTGCTTCTTGAAAGAAAGTACAGCAGGGATCCTTCCAAGGGTACCAAAGGCAGGGGCGATTTCTGGACATTCCCTCAAGCACTGTGGACGACGCATCAGTGGTAAGTAGTGGAAATTTTTAGCTAAATGTGAATTAATAATGCTCTACCTTAGAATAGTTTTATCTCAAAGTCTGGACTGTCACAGACTCTTGGAAGGGTGCCTTCATAAAAATAACAGATACAGGGCAGTATTCCAGACCTAACAGAGGGAACGATGTTCATCTCGACCATCCTCTTATCTTTACCAGTCAACACATGCTTAATGAGCCTCTATTATTTATACGGAGCCCCGGTGGCACAGTGGTTAAGAGCTCCCCTGCTCACCAAAAGGTTGGCAGTTTGAATCCAATAGCTGCTCCTTGGAAACCCTATGGGGCAGTTCTACCCTGTCCTATAGGGTCGCTATGAATAGGAATTAACTCGAAGGCAATGATTTTGGTTTTGGTTAATAATTAACATACTCTCAAAATCAGGCCCCAAATCAGGTGGCTTGTAGCTTTCAGCTACCCATGAATAAAAGTTTCAATTTGTAAATATCCCATGCCAATGATTAACCTATTTCATTTCCCATGTGCAGCAAAATTGGAGAAGTATTTCATTTCCATAATCTGCAAATCTACGTGTGCATGAACCATTGTGAATAATCCCCCTGCTCTCCGCAATACGTTGTTCTCTGTCCGTTTCACCTTAAGGGTTTCAGATTTCGCTTTACAAGCTCTTCAGCCCTATCTCTTAGAAGTGGGAAGTGGCACACGATATCATTTCTACTGTTTAACTGGTTTCCTTAACCAAGAGTCTAACTAACAAATTCGAGTCTTCAATAAAATTAGAAAAAAAACTAAACTTTAACTCACTTGTTTGGTTTGCTGTCTGTTAAAAGGATTATCTACATTATTTTGTATAGAAGGTACATTTCAATAAAAAAAGTGCTTAAACAGAATTTAACAAAATTTTAGAAATGGCTTTATCATGCATAGACAGGAACTCTCCAGTTTTTGTGACCATAATTTGCCACATGGATGTCAGTGAGAGGGCTTACCAATGCAAGCATACAATCAGGCAGGAGTAGTTGAAAACCTTGAAAAATAAGAGAAAGAAATTCCTTCACTTGGTTAAAGAGGTTCTGCTCTGTGGGGTGGTGGTGGTAGGGGGAAGTCAGAATATGCTTATTTCAAGCAGGGTTTGATAATTTACGGAAGCAATAAAAATTTTAGAGCCCCAAAATAATAGGAAAGTTGCCAAAAATGGAATATCCTTTGAAACTCTCCTGCCCAAATGGGTGAACACTTGGTGACCCGCCTCTGGAAGGGAAGCTAACTAGATTGGCCCCATGTGTTCTATTCATGCAGCTTGCCACCGAGGTGTTTATAAAGACATTGATATGAGAGGAGCCAATTTTAATGTATCTAAAGTTAAAAGTGTTGAAGAATGCCAAAAAAGGTGTACCAATAACATTCACTGCCATTTTTTCACATATGCCACGCAAACATTTCCCAGGGCAGCGTTCCGGTGAGTAAAATTCACAGTGTGTGTTCTTTCTGGTGGTGCTTGTAGAATTTAATTGTATTCTTCATAACCTTTTTTTTTTTTTTCCAATTGAAAACAGGGATTTTATACCTAACCACTCTCCTTATTTACTTTCTCAGTTTTGATGTCATGTTTCCTGAAGAGAGTAAGTTCCACTTGGTGCGCAGATAGGCTATGCTTGTGAAATTAGGGGCTTTGAGTGATCAGAGTTTCGTGCTGTAGAATAATGTCTCCCATGCCCACCCTCACCTTCCCTCTGCAGAGGGGAAGGATGTCTGTGCACTTCGTAATGCAAATCTCAAGCTTACTCATTATCAGGGTCAGTGTGAATTACTGATTGCTTATTTTCCACTGTCCATTCATAATTTCGATGCTAAATATTTGTACTGCAGCGCAAACCTTGAAGTTTAGGAGACAGAGTAACCCCTTTTCTTCATATTCAGGAACAACTGCTTATTAAAGAGTAGCCTGAGCGGATCACCAACCAGTATAAAGGTGCTGGATAACGTCCTGTCTGGATTCTCACTGAAGCCCTGCGCACTCTCAGAAATAGGTAATTGTAAGGTTACCATTTCACTACGCGTTAGAGTGGGCAGAATGAAGACTCCCACACATACCTCCCTTCCCACCATCCTCATCCTCCTCTGCCTCCAAAGATGTTTATGACCTAATTCCCAGGACCTGTGGATATGCTACCTTACGTGACAAACGGAGTTTTGCAAGTTATGAGTCTTGAGAAGGGAGAGGGAGGACAATCCTGGTTTATCTGGGCATGCCCAATGTACTCATAGTGTCCTCGGGAGAGAAAGAGGACGGCAAAATGGTCAGAGTCCCAGAGAGAGATCTGAACATGTCACACTGTTGGCTTTGAAGATGGAGCAAGTAGCATGAACCAAGGAAAGCGGGTGGCTTCCAGAAGCTGGAAAGGCAAAGAAAGTCTCCCCTGGAGCCTCCAGAGGGAAGGGAGCCTCACTGAGACCTTAATTTTAGCCCAATAAATCCCATTCTGGACTTCTGACCTTCAGAATTATAAGATAAAAAATTTGGTTTTTTAAGTCACTAAGTTTGTGGTAATTTGTTACGGCAATGAGAAATTACCACTGTACAGGAAACTATAAGGTTTCTTCCTGGTGATGTCCATATCTAGAAAAATGAGTCTACCATAGTGAATCAATAAAACCCTGTCATTTCAGACATATAGGTAATTTTATTTGACTTATCCAGAAAGTTGCCGTGACATTCCACTTTATTTAGTGTATTAAGGTGTTAATGACAAGATGTTGCTGAAAAGAAGCCAATTCTATGCAGTGACAAGTGCTTACTCTGTGCCAAGCTTATACTGGCTTGTGGGTTACGGCCATTCTACGGAAGATTGGAAGTTGGTGACTATGCATCTCTTCTCTCATTTGTCTCTTCCTGCAGTACATTCCCTCCACAGTGTGCACCATATTTATTAGTTCAAATTACTGATTATTTAGTTTTTAATATTTATATTACTTTTTTTTTTACCCTGTGACGCTTCTTGAAGATATGGACTACAGGATTTGTTGTTCTTCGTTCAAAGTCTTCTGTTCTTTACACAGCACTGTTGCTGAAGGCATTTATTGCACTCTTCCAGGGAACTGGCATATCACAGTTTGTTAATGAGTCTTCCTCCAATCCCGATGCCACGTTCTTCTTCATATAGTCCAGTTTCTCAGATTATTTGCTCAGCATACAGATTGAATAAGTATGGTGAAAGGATAATCCTGACACACACCTTTTCTGATTTTAAACTACACCTTATCCCCTTGTTCTGTTTGAACAACTGCCTCTTGACCTAAGTACAGGTTCCTCATGAGCATAGTTAAGTGTTTTGGCATTCCTGTTCTTCCCAGTGTTATCCATAATTTGTTATGATCCACACAGTTGAATGCCTTTGCATAGTCAATAAAACACAGGTAAACCTCTTTCTGGTATTCTCTGCTTTCAGCCAGGATCCATCTGACATCAACAATGATATCCCTTGTTCTATGTCCTCTTCTGAATACTGCTTAAATTTCTGGCAGTTCCACTGTCGATGTACCGATGCAACTGCTTTTGAATGATCTTCAGCAAAATTTTACTTGCATGTGATATTAATGATATTGTTTGACAATTTCCGAATTCTGTTGGATCACCGTTCTTTGGAATGGGTACAAATATGGAACTCTCTCAGTTGGTTGGCCAGGTAGCGGTCTTCGAAATTTCTTGGCATAGGCGAGTGAGCACTTCCAGCCCTGCATCTGTTTGTTGACACATCTCAGTTGGTATTCCTTCAATTCCTGGAGCCTTGTTTTTAGCCAATGCTTTCAGTGCAGCTTGGATTTCTTCCTTCAGACCATCGGTTCCTGATCATATACAACCTCCTGAAATGGTTGAATGTCGACCAATTCTTTTTGGTACAGTGACTCTGTGTATTCCTTTCATCCTCTTTGGATGCTTCCTGAGTCATTTAGTATTTTCCCTGTAGAATCCTTCAATATTGCACTCAAGCCTTGAATTTTTTCTTCACTTCTTTCGGCTTGAGGAATGCTGTACATGTTCTTCCCCCTCTTATCACAATACCTATCAATTCCTCTATTAAGATGGTGAACATACTTTTCAAATCAATAATAATAAAATATGAACTGGAAAATGATTTCTTCTTTTTGTCACCTCTGGGTGGGAAAGGTAGTCTGGTAATTGGAGATAGATGACATAATTCCAATCACTGAGAACAACCAGTTACTATGTTTGAAATAGAGAATGTCCAAGAAAACAATAAGTTTCATAGTCAAAGTATCTATCAATGGATGAGACTAATAAAAGGGAGGGCTAACACTAGATAGAAAAAGTAAAAGAAAAATTATTTCAATAGGTGAGGCCATTGGGCAGAAATTATTGCATGTATTTAGTGTGGATAAGTGTAAGGCTTTTAGGTTCATAAATACAGAATGGCAAGTATGGGACTTAGTGGTGGTTCGTAAGATTGAAGTGGGGACATGTTTAGCCTTCTTTTTTTTTTTTTTTTAACATTCTTTCTTTCCCTTTCTCTCCCCCCTTTCCTTCTGTGATTTCCATTATGTGTATTTTGGTACAGTTAATGATGTCTCACAGGTCTGTAAAATCTTATTCATTTTTCTCTCTGATCCTAACACTAGACAATCTCAACTGAACTTTCTTCTTTGTTTTTCCTTCTTCCAGCTCACATTTGTTGTTGAGCAGCTCTAATGAAATTTTCATTTGTTATTGTGCTTTTCAACTCCAGAATTTCTATTTTTTTCTTCATTAATTTATATCTTTTTAAATTGTTTAATTAATCTTTTATTAAGTCATATACATTTTATATAAATTCTTGTTAATTTATGTTTCATTAATTGGTATTTTCTATTTGGTGAAACATTGTGCTAATAATTTCCTTAGTTCTTTACACATGGTTTCCTTTAGTTCTTTAAATCTAAAAAAAAAAAAAACCTTTTGCTGTCAACTTGATTCTGACTTTTAGCAACCCTATATGACAGAGTAGAACTGCCCCGTGGGATTTCCTAGGTGGTCATTTTTTATGAAACAGACTGACACATCTTTCTGCCATGGAGTGACTGATGGATTTCAAGTGCTGACCTATCGGTTAACAGCCAAGTGCTTTAACCACTGCACCACTAGGGCTCCTCTAGTTCTTCAAACATCTTTAAAATAGCTGATTTAAAATCTTGTCTAGTAAATCCAACATCTGTGCTTCCTTAGAGACAGTTTATATTGACTGCTTTTTTTTTTTCTGTTGCATGGGACATACTTACTTGTTTTTTTGCCTTTCTTGTAACTTTTTTGTTAAAAATTACAACTCTTCAATAATATGATATGACAACTTTGGAATCGGATTCCCTCCTTCCCCAGAATTTTTTGTGGTGGTTGTTGTTTTGTTTAGTGACTTTTCTGAATGAATTCTCTTCAGTGTGTATTCCTTGTTGTGTGTGCCATGAAGTCTCTGCTCTGCAAGCTTAGTGATCCACTCATTACTGGACAGAGATTTCCTTAGATGCCTTGTACCCATAATCTCCCAGTCTTTGTCAAGTGTTGGGTGTGCCTTCGATGTCTAGGCAGTGACAGCTCTACATTAGCGCTCGTGTCCTACCTTCACAGAGCTTCAAGTCAGCCAGATGTGCATGCTTGTGGCCTTCTCAGGTCTTTCCTGGGCACGCTCACAACCCCGGGCGTGCATGTGGCCCTCTAGATTCCCAGGAGTATCTCAGAGCTTTCAAGCCCCCTTATGGACATCTCGTTTCTGTAGTTTTCTTTTTAAACTTTTTCATCAGCTTGTTGTCTACCCCAGCTGTTATCGCTGTCTCAGTCAATTGCAATGTTAAGCAATTGCCACTGATTTTTTCCCCCTAAATGTTGCTAAGGAAAAGGCTGTTAGCACTGAACAAGCTTTGAGTTAGGTTAGATAAAAATAAGACTTGCAAGTGGGATTTTCCAGAAAACAGTCAGACAGGACAAATAATGACTGCTATCTTGGAACAGGGTTTTGAAATAGATCCAACCCCATTCTCCTCCTCCAGTGGCTGCTAAAATGCTGTTGATTTTCAAGGATACCCTTGAGTTGGGAAGAATGGGAATAGACCAAGATAAAACACCACAAACCCTGCTGTTCTTATTGAGACTCAGCCATTTTTCTTGAATAACTGCAACCCAGATTGTTGCAAGCCTTTGGTTAAACTCCAGAATTTTGAAAAAGTTGATTTTAATACTTTTTGCTGGTGTTCTCATTGCTTTTATAAAGGAGACAATTTTTGGAAGTCTTAAAAAAAAAAAAGGTAGCTTTTAAAAAGACAGTGTCTTCAGAACAAAGAGGAATCTGTTCTTCTGTCCTCTGCACTTGTCAGACCTTTTGTGTGTACCAAACCAAACCCACTGCCGCCGAGTCAATTCTGACTCACAGAGACCCTATAGGACAGAGTAGATCTGGTCCATTAGATTTCCAAGGCTGTAAATCTTTATGCAAGCAGACTGCCACATCTTTCTCCCATGGAGTGGAGTGGTTGGTGGGTTGCAACAGCCTACCTAGCAATGAAAAAGTTATAGAACATTTCAGAGGATGGCAATCAACGTGGTAACATATGTAGAAACCAAAACAAACAAACAAACAAACAAATCCGTTTCTGTCGAGTTGATTCTGAATCATAGCCACCTATGTAGAAGTCATGGAAAATTTATTTAAAAAATGATTAAAGGAAGAAATTAAAGATACTTAACCTGTAAAAGAATCTGGATAGCTGTCTTTGGAAGGGCTGTCACTGCAAAAAGTATTAGACTAATCTGTGTGGTTCCATAGAGTATATCTAGGTAGATGCTACCCTGAAGAAAATAAGAAAAAATAAAATTCCTAACACTTATAACACTTAGAGGGCCCAGAATGAAGTGGGACCACATCATGTCGATGAAACTCCAAGCAAAAGCATTCTCAGAAATGTCCTTGAGAGGATGCAGTTATAGGCTGGCATACATGAGCTCAGCTTAAAGATTCTGTGATTTTTTAAAAAATTTAATTAGTTGATATCCAGTTATCTAAAAGGTCAATATGAAGGTATTATGAGGGTTCTCTTTCTTGACCCATCTGAGTCTGTCCTTCCATAATTGCTACCATTATTTTTAAGCTTCTGTAATTTTAATAGAATGTGTGTTTTATTAAATTGAGTAAATTGTCTAAATAATATGAACACAAATAAAAATGGAATTAAGAAATAAGATTACATAAGTGTAACGAGAGTGGATTTCTCCTGTTGTAATCTCAAAGCGCACATGACATTTTTGTTAGCTCTCTGATATTTTTGTTAATCTTTATTAATTTTTTTATTATATTCAGGAAAATGTAGCTCAAAATCTCATGTTGTTCAGGCCTAGGATTCAGGGCAGGGTAACATAAAGAAAATATGCACACATGCTCATACAAAGTCACCTGAATATTTTCAACAAGTTTGGGGATATTTTAGCCGACATTTTTTTCGTTGAGGATGTTTCGTGCTGTGAGTAACGAACACAATAATTTCCTTAATTATGATGACAGAGTGCAAACGAACCACGTTATGTCATTCGCTGACCGACATCTTCCCTCCGTGAGTTCCCAGGTTGCCACATGGACGTTTTCCAGCATCGCGCGTTTTCAGATGTGGATGTTGCCCGCGTTGTTGCTCCGGACGCTTTTGTATGCCGCACCATCTGCAGCTATCATCCCAGCTGCCTCTTCTTCACGTTCTATACAAATGCGCGGAACGTAGAGTCACAGCGGTGCGTAGCACCTGTACCATTTGCTGCTGTTATTCCATTACTTTACAGTTTGAGTTTTTAAAGTTTTGCCCATTTCCGTCTAAACGCTTGAATCTGCAGTTCAGGGAGGCACTTTTCTGCTAGGTACAGATTGTCTAAGAGAAGACTTTTTTTTAACCTACCGTCTGTTACTTAAAACAAACATTCCATTGGATTAATGAAACAACAGCCATTAGGAAAGAAAAAGAGAAAAAAGAATTGATGTCTTTCTAACTGATCTTAATGTGTTGTATTCTCTTGAAGTAAAAACCTCTCACTGGCTATATATCCCTTAAGCTGGTTGGCCCTAACTCCTTTCTGATTAAGAAACTAACCAAAAAACCAAACCCATTGCCATCAAGTCGATTCTGACTTATAGCAACCCTACAGGACAGAGTAGAACTGCACTATAGGGTTTCCAAGGAGGGGCGGTGGATTTGAACTGCCAACCTTTTGATTAGCAGTCTGAGCTCTTAATCAGTGCGCCACCAGAAACTAGGAACCTGTTTATCCTGATCGAGGTCCTGGTTGACCGCCTTACACTTAGAGCACCCACTCCGTTTCTTTACACACAGCGTGGGACTAAGAGAAGGACATATCCTGACGTAATAGCATCAGCTGCTCAAATCCCCAGAATTTGGTTTTTGCTTTCCTCTTTTATTTTTTCAATTAGAAGGTATAACGTTACCATTCCTCTCTTTTCAGGCTGTCTGTGCCTGTCAGTTTTCTCCAGAGGGAGGTTTTGGCTTGATTCACATTTAATCTCTACAGTGTATTAGTGTCTCGTAGTCTGAGTTGCTATGAAAAGCGTCTCTCAGAAGAATTAAACTGGTGGAGGTGCTTTTCTGATTAGGTGCTTTTGTGTTTGGCTAATGCTCTCTCTCTCTCTCCTGTCTTAATAGAAATGTTTGTTTCCTTAAGACTTCCAAAAGTGGAATGCCAAGCTCCTCTACTCCACAGGAAAATGCCATATCTGGATACAGCCTTTTAACCTGCAAAAGGGCTTTGCCTGGTAATGTGATTCAGTCATAATATCACATAAAGAGTGATAAATTTTATGATCTAACAAGTAGTAGTTATGAAATAATCCTCATACCAGAGACTTGGGTAAATTCAGTTTATTACTTTCCTCACTGTATCTTTCTGTATTTATAACTGACACAGAACCCTGTCACTCCAAAATTTACCCTGAAGTTGATTTTGGAGGGGAAGAGTTGAATGTGACCTTTGTTAAAGGAGCGAATGTTTGCCAAGAGACTTGTACCAAGATGATTCGCTGTCAGTTTTTTACTTATTCTTTACTCCCAGAAGACTGTCAGGGAGAAAAGTAAGTGAAAAATTATGTTTTAAAGACAGTTGTCAGGACACGTTTATGTACTTTTTACCTCTGTAAAGGTTTAGTCTTTACACCGCTTGTCTTATCTAGGTGTAAGTGTTCTTTAAAATTATCTTTGGATGGTTCCCCAACCACAATTACGTATGGGACACAAGGCAGCTCTGGTTATTCTTTGAGACTGTGTAAGACTGGGGAGGACTCTGGTGAGTAAACCTCAGTTTTTCATAGACCTGGAATGTGTTGCCTGTTTGTTGCTTTGTTGTTTGGTAGCTTGTTCAGTCTTATATTGTGGAATTCTGTACCTCGTCTTCTTTGATGGAAGAGGACTCTGATTCATGTCTAATCCTAACCACGAGCTTCAACACTCTGTTTCTAGTCTGCACTACAAAGTCAAGCACACGTATTGTTGGAGGAACCAACTCTTCTTGGGGAGAGTGGCCCTGGCAGGTCAGCCTGCAGGTGACACTGACAGCCCACAGACACCTGTGTGGAGGGTCAATCATTGCCCACCAGTGGGTCCTAACTGCTGCCCATTGCTTTGATGGGTAAGTTTTGGATGAGTCTTTTCAAGAGTCTTATCCTGACTTTTTATTTGAAGTATCTATAATCAATTTCTTGATCATCATGTGAGTTTATTACTAGAGAGTTATTCTTTTTTAGTAAGAGGTATTTTAAAGCAAGGATGGTCTTCAGCATATTTAACACCAATAGGGTGTGAGCACTGACCGATCTGATCCATCAGAGCAGACTGTCTGTGTGCAGGACTGGAGCTTCTTGCCAGCTATTACTCTCACTTCAAAGAAGAATTCAAAAACATCTTAGCTGATGCCCACTCCACCACCACTACCCAAATGTATTCTTTAAAGACACCAAAGACTTGTTTTTCAGGCCCGTAGAAATTTTACTTGCTGCTCTTTGATTTACAAATGTACTATGCAATACTGATAACAACAGTAATAAAGCAAAATGAGATACTTTATTAGCCTTTATCTTTCAATGTATATAATATGATATTTCTATTTTATTGGGAAAATAGTACATCATATGGCATGGTTTAAAAGTTTTAAAACACTTAGACTTTGTAGTTAAAAAATGGAGCTTGAACCACAGCTCTGTCACTTACTACAGGTATAAACCAAACACAATGAATTAAGTGCTGTTATTATTCATAGTTTGCATATAGGAAAATTAAGTTAAGAGAAATTTTACAAATTGCCCAATTCGTAGGGTTATTGGAAGATTAAGTGGCATATTTAAAATGCTTAGTACTATACCTGGAGCATAAACATTACTCAAAAATATAAGCTACTATTATTATTACTACATTCAGTAAGAAATGTAAAAATAGAAAAAGCATGTGAATAAGCGCACTAGTAGCCCCAAAATAAGACACTTGGTTTCTCTCAAAAGCAAAGAAACACAAATCAAAATATTTTTGTCTTAGCAAAAGTCACCCTTCCCCTGGCCGAACAGGGCAGTGTGCAGGTCGCTGTGTGACAGGGTTTAGGGCGCCGAACCAGCTGTCATCCTGTAGTCTCCAGCGCATGGCGGCCCGACGAGTGTCGGAGTAGAACTGTCCTCTGAAGAGTTTTCAGTGGCTGATTTTTCTGAAGTGTATCATCAGGCCTTTCTTCTGAGACACTTCTGGATAGATTTGAACCTCCAACTTCTCAGTTCGTAGTTGAGCTCTTAACTATTTGAAGTGCCCAGGATTTCGGATACTACCGCCAACATATAACACAGTCGGTGGCTACTCCTCACAGTAATGATTCTGTTTACCTGAGTGAATTTAATTGCAAGACAGTAAGTAATTGCCGAATTTGGTGGTATAGAAAGATTTTGGTGGCTCACAGGGAAGCTTTCCCCCATTAAGAGCTATTGTCTATGTGATGATAAGGTTAGATAGACAGATAGCTGCCATTAAGTCAACTCCGACTAATGGCGACCCCAAGTACAACAGAACAAAACATTGCCTAATCCTGTGTCATCCGTATGAACACCAGCATATTCGAGTCAATTGTTGAAACTATTGTGCCAATCCATTTCACCGAGGGTCACCTTCGCCCTAGATGGCCCTCCACTTCACCCAACATGATGGCCTTCTCCAATGATTGACCCTTCCTGATGGCATGTCCAAAGCAAGCAAGTTAGCCAATGTCTGTTGTGATCCACAAGGTTTTTATTGACTAATTAAAACTTTTCATCCTTGAAGACTCAAAGTGTTGTGACTTTATAAGAGATTATATTCATGAAAATACTATGAACTTATTGAAAGGAAGTCACTTTACACCTAGCATTTCCATTATTTCCTCTACAGTTTTGTGCAGTCCCATCTCACACCACTCATTTAGTGATGATAAAAATTTCCAGATCTTTACACAGAAGAAGACTGCTTTAGATCAGAACTTTGGGTTTGCTTTGCATATATTCATGTTTCAGAGTTAATTTAAACCCCCCATACTTTTCAAAATGTAGATGAATACATCTTAAATAATGCTGAAACCCACCTAACTTGAGATGAGCGTAGTATTTCCATGATAAACTTCTACAGTCCCTCCCAACCTCAAAATGGCAACATTTTTGTGTGTTTCTTTGCAGTGAACATAAAATAGTGATACAATTGCACATTTTCAATGTTTTAAATCAGATTTTCAGAGATTCAGTACTGCTGCGGGTGGTCAGATGACACATTGTCAGGAGGAGAAATTACGTAGGAAAAATACATTATACGTGGCATTTCCTTCCCAGTTCTTTTTTGAAAAAAAAAAAAAAAGGGAGAGAAAAAAGGAACAATATCAAAGGTCAATCTTTCTGGTTTCAAATAGGTATTTATTTTTCCCTCTTAGGCTTCCCTGGCCGGATGTTTGGCGCGTTTATGGTGGCATTTTACATCTATCAGATATAACAAAAGAAACGCCTTTCTCACTAGTAAAAGAGATTATTATTTACCAGCAATATAAAATCTCAGAAGGTGGTCATGATATTGCCTTACTGAAACTTGAGGCGCCTTTGAATTATACTGGTATGTAGAATATTTACAGTGGAAATGTAACGGTTTAATTAGCATATCAATTTGAATGAGGGCAGAATCTGGAGAGTTTATCTTTCTTTTCTGATTGGTGATGTTGGGAGATATGTGAGGGCTAGCAGGGAAGTTAGCCTGTGACTTGACAAATATTCCTTCTAAACCCTCTCGTTACTATTGGTGTAACTGTAAACCAGCCACTTTTTATGCCTCTGAACCTCGGAGGTAGTACGTTATTCTGGTTCTAATGCATTTAGCATCAAGGTGGGTCCCTTTGGAAATGCCTGAGGCTCAGCAGACTGGAGTTGGAGCCTCATTGTTGTGTAGGTTGAACATTCTATTAGGTGATGCTTCCTGGCTGTGTTAGTGTTATAAACTTTTGTAAACTTTTGCCTTTTTTCCCTTTCTTTCTGTGAGATAAGGTTTGCAAGCACAATTATCGCTTTGCTATGTGGTATTTAGGGAGCCCTGATGGGTTTTAGTTTTTCTGTGTCATATTTGGAAAACCAGAGTTTCCCCATGTAACCGAATGGAAGGATGTTCACAGTAAACTATCCATTGAGTTCTTACTGGTATATTGTCATACCACTCATCGGTGACAACACAGTGCCACTTGTCTTATTGGTGGCTTGTATTACCAGCTTATATATCTCAAAATCTATGACTTATATTGAAAATTCCAAATTGGTCTTTGAATCACCATGCCATAATTAGTGAAAACGCATAGAATCAAAAAAAAAAACTTTTTAAAATAAAAATTTAGTAATGAAAGGGTGAATTAAGGGGCAAGAAATTTTCGGTAGTTCCTTCAGATATATAGACAGTATATACAACTGCCTATGTACTGCCTGTATATGGTTATGGAAACACTGGTGGCATAATGGTTAAGAGCTACGTCTGCTAACCAAAATGTTGGCAGTTTGAATCTACCAAGCGCTCCTTGGAAACTCCATAGGGCAGTTCTCCTCTGTCCTCTGGATTGCTATGAGTTAGAATCAACTCGATGGCAATGGGTATATATACGGTTACAATAATAGGCATGGGAAACGTCTTTGCCCTCTGGGAAGCATTGGACTTCCTTTGACAAGAGTGGCAGAATTACCATTGTTTGGGTTTAGGAATATTAGACACAGAGGAGGGCAATTGAGACTACATAACAATTTTTTTTTTTTTAACTTCTGTGTTAAGTAGAAGAGTGTGGTGCAGAAAGAAGCCCTAGGAAGGCAATAGCATCGTGTTTGGAGAAGCACACAGCTCCACAGATGCTGAATCCCCCTCGTGTCCGTTAATTATCATGTAACCTTGGGCAAGTTGCTTTTGTTCTTTGCACCTCTAATTTCCTCATCTGTATAATGGGGATGATAATTACCCCCATTGGCTTGTTATGACGGCTGAGTCAGTTAATAAACTAAAGCACTTAAAATAGTGCCTGGAGCAGGGTAGACTGCTGTTATTATTAAGGCTATCATAGCCTAAATAAGACTTAAGAAACAAAAACTGGACAATGATTTTGACAGTAAATTTGGGTTCCGACATGTTTATTTAACTCAGAAAAATTTAACTCCAAAAACATCAAGAGCAAATGAGCTCTGCTGGTAAAAAAAATTTTTCTTGAATCATTGACTTTAGAAGTTGAGCAGAAAAGGGTTATTCTTGGTGCTACTATATGGAAGAAGAATATGGGATAAGGAAATAATGTACGTTTAAAGTCAATATCCATAGCTTTATCTAATTAAACTCTAATTTAAAATTACCTCTCAGAATTCCAAAAACCAATATGCCTACCTTCCAAAGATGATACAGATACAATTTATACCAACTGCTGGATCACTGGCTGGGGCTACACCAAGGAAAAAGGTACATGTTGGTCCTCGAGCAAGTCTTGTTTGTTAAAATATGTTCCGTGTATCATTTTAATCAGCCTCTGTCTAGAATTATAGCCAAGCTCCCTATTTTTCCAATATTGGGAAATATTAGTCCTAACATATTTATTCAGTGATGCTTGAGAAGATGTATTTTTGCCTAGGCCTGGAAAATTTTATAAGATAACCTTTAAAGCATCTTACTTCATTTGCCTGGGTTCACATAAGAATTGGGCCCATATAGTCAAAATCGACTCAACGGCAACGGGTTTCATTTTTTGGTTTAGGGCCTATATAGCACACTCAGGTCAATCCTGTTCTCAGTACTGATCATGTTCTCATCCCCCAGTACTATTGTTCTCATGTGATATTAATGACCAAGAGTATAGGCAGGTACGTTGTCTTTCTTTATGACAGATTTTTAGTTTTGGGTTTTTGTTTTTTTCTTCCATGCACTCTTTTGGCAATCCGAGGAAGCCTATAACCACTTCTCAAATAATTATTTAAATGCATAAAATAAAATAAATAGGATTACAAAGGAAATCAAAGATACTGAATGCAGTTTTAAAAACACTTAAAATATGTGACATTGTAGTATATGTGCTTCTCTATTAATATACTAGAGAGCAAGATCTAGTAGCTGTTCTAATAACTACCATGATTTTGAAATAGTGGTGAGCATACATGATATCACAACTGTAATGTGATATGAAGATATCTGTGATCTTTCTTGATGATAAAGTCATAGGTACTGCTAATATGACTGTTGCCTACATCCATAATTAAAGGAAGTGTTAAGACTTTAGTTGGAGGTTGGTAAAAATAAAGGTTTTTTTTTTTTTTTTCCCTATCTAAGTTAATGGACTCTGTGAATTCTTTCTATGGACTCTAGGCTAAGAACCCCTACTAATGGGTATTTGGATATTTCATTTACCCTTGAGCTTTTCAGAAAACAGGACATTCTTCCTTTCCAACATTATGCTCCTGATAAACACGATAGAGAATAATATTTGTCACTCTTTACACAAGGAGATCGCTGGCTAAGCTCACTCCATTTTCTCTGATTCAGTCTCTATTCGACCAAAACTAATTCAAATTTTTTGACTAGTCCTCTGAGACAGGAAGAAATTAAGAGTAACTTTACAAAACAGGGAAAGTTCCCAGCATAGAACTAATTAGTACCTGGATACTAGTGGTAATTAAATTCTTTGTAAATAAGATGTTCTTCATGGAAAACACTTACTTGTATTATTTGAAGAACAAATCACTCCTCTTTGACAGAGATTTTGAGGGTTTTCAGAAATAATGTATTTTTTTAAATTATTATTTTGAATATGTGGAACAAAAAACTGAAAGGTAAGAACTTCATAATTGCAGGCAATAAATATGAAAGGCAATTTCTGAGGGACTTACAGGGAGACCAGAGGATGGCAGAAATTTGAAAGCAAAAACTGCTCTCAGTCTGGGGTTCTGGGCAGGCCCAGATACTACCGCAGAGGCCAAATGGTGTTCTCTCTCTCTCTTTTCCTTTCTCTCTCTTTTCTTCTCTCTCTCTCTGTGTATAACTCTACCCTCTCAATGTTTACTCTTTTTCTCCAAAGATATGAGGTTAATTAAAAGTTCACCATTACTTGCTTTAAAACTTCATTCTTATTTCCATGTTTATTGTATTTCCTCCCTCTGAAGTTTTATGTTGTTTATTTTATAGGTGAAATCCAAAATACTCTGCAAAAGGCAAATATTCCTTTGATAACGAATGAAGAATGCCAGACAAGATATAGAGATTATGAAATAACCAGTCAAATGATCTGTGCTGGCTATAAGGAAGGGGGAACAGATGCTTGTAAGGTACTCATTCCGTTATGAAGAAATACACAATAGGCTGCTTGAGAATGTTCACCTGAGAATAGGTTTTCTAATAGTATATTTCCTTACAGTTGTAAAAAAATTCAGAGCCAGAATGATCTGATCATTTCATAAATATACTTTAATAAATTGAATATGTATATGCCATCACCTCTGGGAGAGCATGCCGTATGTAAGAGAAGACAGTTTTACACACTATACTGTAATTTAAGAACATTGGATAAAAACTGTAATATAAGAACTGCAATGTAAGAACATTAGAACCGTAATATAAGAAAATAAGATTTCCCGGAAACCGGGATGAAGTTGTCAAAATTTCTTTATTGAATTTACCTCAGGATAGAAGAGGAGTAAACATAAAATGAAATCTTACACCGTTGAGTTCGATTGTTTTCACCACATCCTACAGCTAATAAGGCTCAGTAGATACCTGAAGAACTTTAAGAAATTGTGCCTATGTGTGTGGGGGGTGGGGGAGAACAGAATTTTAAAGGAACCACTTATTAAACACTTATTTCAATCACATCTGTCATAACTTTTCATCATTTTCTTTTTCCACCCACTGTGATACAGGGAGATTCAGGTGGTCCCCTAGTCTGTAAACACGAAGGAATCTGGTATTTGGTGGGCATCACCAGTTGGGGTGAAGGCTGTGCCCGCAGAGACCATCCAGGTGTCTACACCAAAGTGGCTGAGTATGTGGACTGGATTTCAGAGAAAACGCAGGATGGTAGTGGACACTCTTGGATGAAGTCGCCAGAGGCTATGTAGTGGTAGTGAAAAGCCTGTCTGCAGCGCCAGTTTTACAAACCTGAGTTCTAGCCTTGGTGTCCTCATATGCAAAACGTGGAGAGTGGTGTCTACCTCACATCCTTGTCATAATGCTAAAACGAGACAAGGCATGCATGGCTGCCGAGGTCCATGTCTGTGCTGGGCATGCCTTTGGCATTCTATAAACGGGAGCTAATAATGGCAAATGACACCTGAAGGTCTTCTCCACAATCACTTATTATGAAATAAAATGGCAACATAACAAGATTAGAAGAGTGTTTGCCTCCGACTGTGAAGCAGAACTGAGAATGAGTAACTCCAAAGCCCAGCATGGTGTCTGGAAACATTCTAATCTTGCTGCTAGCACTGGAACTGAACGTATTTCAAAGATAGTAACTGTTTGTCAGCGCCTCACTTCCCTGCTGCTGCCTGCGGCACCTGGGATGACCGTCGTGTGTAACACGCGCTCTTACAAGGAAGATAAGGGTTACCTGATCCTGGGAGAAGAGTGCACCTTTCCACTGAGGCCTCCTTTTCTGTTATCACAGCACCTACACAAGGCTCCACGTGGGGTGTAGAGGGGAGACCTGGGGGCTGCAATTGTCTGGGTGTAGCTGCCTGCAACAGGCTCATTTCACAGCCTTCATGAAGGACAAGTAGTTTGCTTTGCAAAGGGCAGTAATGCTGGGGGCTCTGTGGGTATTGGGTTCTGCAACAGTAATTCAAGAAGCATTGGTAGGTGGAAAGTATTTCATAAATTTGTCCTGTAAATTTGTGGTAGTAGGAGGTAGCTGTGGAATGGATGTCATAAACACTTATGCAACACAAATGCCAAACTTGCCAATGGGTACTACAAACACTGCAAAGTAGCTTGGTTCAGTGCACTGAAGCTGACTGACATGTTCACAGATTTGATCATTTACAAAATATTGCTTAAGTTAAATACAAAAGTAGAAAAGTATAATTTTCTAGAAGAGATTGAGTTTTTTTCTTTCATACTCAGATACACTGAAAGGTAAGAGGGGATAAAGGTGAAAGGAGCTGAAGAAAAACTATGAGGCTGGAGTAACTCAGTAGGAAATGGAAGAATTAGGAGTTTACTCTGTAAGTAAATGGCTTTTGTAAAATCTGGCTTCAACTTTTACCTTTACTTGCAATAAAGATATTGAAGATATTGATGTTTGTTCTGTGTGCATGTTCTTTTAAATTAAAAGAAAAAAAGTGGCTTGTAATGAAACTTTATCTCAGTTTATAGTATTGATAATTCTAAAGGGTGATTGAACAGGATTTTGGATCGCTTGCAGGGCAAATGCTTGGGCTTTTGTTTGTCAGGGAATGACCTAGTTGGGGTAAAACAGGGAGAAGGGTTGTGAAATGTGGAAACCCCCCTGAGGTATAAGTTATTACCGTAGTTATTACTAGCAGTCTACCGTATTTTTACGAAAATAACATGCGCGTTACATGTTTTTTGCAAACTGCGCAACCTCCCTGACGTGTGATTTTCATAAGGGCGCAATACCAATTTTTTTTAACATGTTGCTGACTTCAATTTCAATTTTTTTGTTCATGTCCGATGGATTTAATGGTACCGGGATAAAACTGATGTCATGGAAACTTCATTTAAGGTAGATGTTTTCCTAAACTAAGTGCAACCAATGTTGAACCAAACGGGTTCCTGATGGAAATGGGATGATATGTTGAAACCAAAGACCTAGAAATTAGAAAGTGAGAGGTGATCCTAAGCCTAAAACTACAAGAACAAGATGTCATTTATGTTTTATCACTTTCATAAATCCTAAACTGAAACATCATTTTTGATAATCAATGTCTTTGAAATCAACAAATAAAAGTTACCAGGAGAAATTGTGTTTTCATCTTAAAACAGGCCCTTTTAGTTTATTCATTCATTATCATCATCATCCATCAGCAGTCTGCCAGTTTATTGTACTGTGGTGGCTTGGGTGTTGCTGTGATGCTGGAAGCTTTGCCACCAGTATTTCAAATACCAGCAGGGTCACCCATGGTGGACAGGTTTCAGTGGAACTTCCAGACTAAGACCAACTAGGAAGAAAGACCTGGTGATCTATTTCTAAAAAAAAAAAAAATGTCCAGTGAAAATCTTATGAATAGCAGCAGAACATTGATATAGTGCAGGAAGATATGAGCCCATTAGGTTGGAAGGCATTCAAAATACAACCGGGGAAGAGCTACCTCTTCGAACAGCGTCCACCCTAATGACAAGGATGAAGTAAAGCTTTCGGGACCTACGTTTGCTGACGTGGCATGACTCAAAAAAAAAAAGAAGCAGCAGCTGCAAACATCCAGTAATAATCGGAACATGGAATGCACAAAGTATGAATCTAGAAAAATTGGAAGTCATAAAAAATTAAATGGAATGCATAAAGATCAATATCCTTAACACAGATATCCTTGACACAGTGACTGTAATTACACTCTCAAACATAGCAACACTTGTGAGGATGATGATCATCATCATCTGACTCCCAGAACCCTTCAAAGCCTGATCCCTCATCACTATCATTATTGAAATGTTTCAGAGCTGCCTGCATATGCTCTTCTGTGACTTCTGAACTAATGTCATCATCAGCACTGCCTTTGGCGTCTTCATCTTCATTGTCAGTATTCTGCTGGTAAACAATCCCAGCCTTTCTGAAGCTGTTGCAGATGATTTCTGGGGTTATTTTCCCCCAAGAAGAAGCCACCCACTTGCAGATTTCTGCAAACATCACCCGCTTCAGTCATCTTGATGATGTGAATTCAAGAATTCCAGACTGCATCCATTCATCTTACTCTCTTCTCACCAAAGTCTTGAATGGGTGGTTGACTGCTATATCTAGTGGCTGAAGCTTGCAGGTAAGGCACCAGGCATGATTGCTGTATGGGCATCAGTTGAGTTAATATAATTTTGAACATTTTTTTCTTTGTGAGCAGCCATGACTTCTTAAAAAAAGAATTCCCCTGCCTGGCCCTATAACATTTATCTATCTGTACTTCATAACATCACAGTCCATTTATCCCTTCTTATTACAATGAACAACCACACTGGTTGGCAGTTTTTCATGGGACATAGTAAATTCTCTTAAAAATCACCATCAGCTTTAATTTCACCACACCCACAGTGCAACCAAGGACTCCAGTAAGGCAAGGTCTCTCATGCCCAGTGGCTGTAATGGCTACAGTTTTCATCCCTGAAGTAGCTACAGTCCTGGTGGCCAGAATGTTGAAACATATTGGAACTTAGTCCACATTAGTTATGTCCATTGCAGAGATACCAAGTTCAGAGATTTCTTTGGTGATGAATTCACAGAAGTTCGTGGGTCAGGATAGAGGCTTCTGATTCACGTAGCTTCAGGGACTGGCAAACCCAAGATCGGCAGGTCAGAGAGCAGGGCTCTTGCTCACAGGCTGTGAAGATCAATGAATTCCAAGATCTGAATTCAGCAATGATATCCCTTGTTCCACATTCTCTTCTGAATCCAGCTTGAATATCTGGCAGTTCCCTGTCAATGTACTGCTGCAAATGCTTTTGAATGATCTTCAGCAAAATTTTACTTGAGTGTGATTGTTTGATAATTTCTGCATTTTGTTGGATCACCGGTCTATGGAACAATGGCCTCTACAACTGTCTGAGCCATTTCCTTGATATAAATCTCTATCTCTATATATATACTTATAAGCTTTACTGGTTTTGCTTCTCTAGAGAACGCAGCCTAAGACACCATGAATATCTGGAATCTTTATACTATTCAGAGACTTTAGAGATTTCACTAATTAGCTAAACCAAATTTAGGAAAATATATTTAGTTTACCAATGAAACATTTTTCTCATTTAGAGTCTTTCTGTTTCTCTAAGTAGGCCTGGAGAGTTATCATTATCTTCTTTAGTATAAAGATAGGGTTTCATAGAGTAAACAATACAGGAATGTAAGGACCTTATGTAATCTCACCTATCAGTTTTCGATGAAAACCTTTCTTGGCATAAATTGGGCGGTCAATGTTTGGACTTCATAAAAGACAGTGCATCATAAATATGTGCTTTTTGTGTAGCTGGAAGGTACTTCATTTTAAATGGAAACTCAAGAAAGCGTAGAAGAGCTTTTCTTGCCAAGATGGGTCTTAATACATTGGCAATAGATCAAATAAAAATACCTGAATAACTGCCTTCCAGATACAACATCACAACAGTTCCTTAGAAACGACCTCTTAGAAGCTCAAATCCCCCTTAACCATTTCCTGAAGGAAGAAAACACTGGCTTCCCTCTTCTTTTCCAAAATTTCCCATCCTTTATATGGAGTGAGCTTCAAATTTGCCTTTGCTTTGCTAACTATTCTCTCATTGTGTCCTTTAGTGGGTTCTTTCTTTTCCCCCATGTTTCCCTTTCTGGAGGAGTTTTTGAAAATGCAACCCAGTGTTCCTAATCTTGGGTCATCTTTCAGTGTAGGTACTTGACCACTGGGAATGCATATCCTGTACCTTCAGAAATATTTAAACAGAAGTCAGTGGCAACGTACTTAGGATAGACACTCATAAGACTGGCTTTCTATGCCCCCAAAGATTGAAAATACTGAAAGAAAACTGGCGACCTTTTCTAGGGTCAGAAGACAACACTCACATTAGCAAATTTTCCTTGAATAAAGTACAATATTTCCTCTGGTACCATAACTTCAGCAAGATCTCTAACTGGGGAAAACTTGTCATTTCGTTCTTCTCCTGGTCTTCAGAATACATATATTTTTTGAATTATGATTCCATTTATAAACCTAAGATCATACTTTGATTTGCTATGGAAAATTAAGTCTTCTCTGAACCATAAAATTATCTTTGCCTAAAATGTATTTAAATCAGACATATTAAAAGATGTTTTTAAAATTAATTAATTGGTTATTTGATTAATTTTATGTTTACTCGGGACTACGTAGAAATCCTTAGGGCTAGGTAGTGTGTACCTTTATATGCGAGTAACCTGAAGTCCAGAGAGGCGAAGCAACTCGGTCGGAGACTCACAAGTAGCTGGTTTACAGTGCAGTAAACTGGTTTCTGCTCAATTAAACTAGTTGCTAGTGAGTTAACTCCTACTCATGGTGAGCCCATGTGTGTCAGAGTAGAACTGTGCTACATAGGGTTTGCAATGGCTGATTTTCTTGAAAGTAGATCACTGGGCCTTTCTTCTTAGGTGCCTCCGGGTGGACTCAAACTTCCAACCTTTTAGTTAGCAGCCAAGCTCATTAACTCTTTGCACCACACGGGGACTCCTCTGCTCAGTTACATTACTGGTAAAGTTAATGACTAGACCTGAGTCCCAGAGGATGTGTAGTATCATGCATTCCATACAGCATCAACCCTTCAAGGTCAATGGGCAGATTTTTATCGGAAATCTAACTAGATGAAGCTCAGAAAAATAGTTAATGTGTTTTCCTCTCAGTGTGCTTCAACAAGTCCTCTCACCAGAAGACGTTCTCCAGGACAAGGGTCCCTAACCTTCTGGGAATTCACCTGCTATTTTTTCACTGCTTGTCAGGCAATAGCTAGCTAGACATGTCACTTCCTAACTCTCCATTTTTGTCTCAGTGTCCCAAGATCTGGAGCCCTGGTGGCACAGTGGTTAAGAGCTCGGCCACTAACCAAAAGGCCAGCAGTTCAAATCCACCAACCACTCCTTGAAAACCCTTTGGGGCAGTTCTACTCTGTCCTATAAGGTGGCTATGAGTTGGAATAGACTCCACGGGCAACGGGTTTAGTTTTTTTTGTTTGGTTGGTTTTTTACAGTCCCACGATCTAAAGCAAACTATGAGAGTCCCCTATTTTTCCATTAAAAAATTAATTTTTTATTCTACTTTAGATGAAGGGTTACAGAACTAATAATTTCTCATTAAATAGTCAGTACACATATTGTTTTATGACATTGGTTAACAATCCCATGACATGTCAAGGCTCTCCCTTCTCGACCTTGGAGGACTTTTTTTTTTCTGGTGAAAATATACATAGTCAAAGTTACACCATTTCAAAAGTTTCTACATGTACAATTCAGTGACATCGATTACATTCTTCCAGTTGTGCTGCTGTTCTCACTATCATTTTCAAATTACTCCATCACCATTATCTTCAACTCACTGCCCCCTAGGCTTCCCATCAAACCTTTTGAGTTGCTGTTGTCAATTTGATCTCACATAGATAATTCTTTTTTTTTTTTTGTACCTTAGATGAAGGTTTGCAGAACCTGAGTCCAGTACAGCTAGATGATGCCCGGCTACCACCACTGACTGCTCTGACCAGGATCACAATAGAGGGTCCTGGACACAGCTGGCAAAGGATGTAGACCAAAATTCTAACTCACAAAAAAAAGGACCAGATTTACTGGCCTGACAGACTGGGGAAACCCCGAGAGTATGGCCCGTGGACACCCTTTTAGCTCAGTGGTGAAGTCACTCCCGAAGTTCACTGTTCAGCCAGGGACTGGACTGCCTCATAAAACAAAACGGGACTAATGAGGCCCAGCAGTCCAGGGAGAAGGACTAGAAGGCAAGAGGGGACAGGAAAGCTGGTGATAGGGAACCCAAGGTTGAGAAGGGACAGTGTTAACTTGTCGTGAGGTTGTTAACCATTGTCATAGGGCAATATGTGTACTAACTGTTTAATGAGAAAATATTTGCCCATTAAAAAATTAATTTAGTCTTTCAGTGTGCAAAAGTGGGATTAAAAAAAAAAAAGGCTTGGCTGTTTAGAACTAACCACATCTGCATGGGCCTCTGAGGGGTAACATTGTGTAAAGGGAAACCGTGAACTGAGAAGAGCAAGACTCCCACATCTGTCTCTCCTTTCTATCCGGCCCTCCAACCCACAACAGAGGAAGTCTGTTCCCTCTGGTACACTGTGCATCAGAAAATCCACCCAACTCCCCTTTTTAATTTTCGGACTCTGAGACACCGTTCAGGCGAAGATTAATGGTTAACAGTTGGTATTGGAAAAGTGTCGTCAAGTGCGGCTTTGGCGAGCATGTGTGCTGAATGTGTGTTTGCCGGATTGCAAAGGCACACGGGCAAATCCAAGCTCTCTGGCTGTCTCTGGGTCACTTGTATGAATATACAATAAAATAAATATATATATATAAATTTAATGTACTGAAAAGGCAAGCAACTGTCCTAAAGTATGCTTTTGATGTGCGGAGATTTTAAGGACCTTCACGCACATGCTGTAAAAAAGAACGTACTGTTACATAATGTTGGGAACCAACAAAAGTAAATATTTTAGTTGAGGGAACATAACCTACCGAAGTTCATTTACAGGAGCATGAAGGCCATTTTCGAAGAAGAAAATCATCGTCATCAAGAATTACTAGTGATTCTAACCAAACAAGGTGTTTTCAGGTATGGTTTCGAGATTATTATTTAAGATTTCTCTCAAGAAATTATTCCTTGAAGTGCCTTTTTCTATCATGGTTTTTGTTGTCATTTGTTTGCTTTTTAATTTTACTTGCTAACATTAATGCAATAGTTGTTGTTTTTTTAACTTGTCAGATTTAATATTTTAGAGGTTTTTAGTTCATATCCGTAAGTGATTGGAGAGGAGATGCAGAATGAAGGAAGAGTGTAGCTTTTATATAATAACAAGTAGTTTACAAATTTAAAAAATATTCCAGAACAGTATCAAATATAAGAAGGCTTGACTGGTCTTACTAAGGCACTGACTAGTCAGCTTTCCATAAAGCAGTCAGTTCAACACTTAGTGGAGATAAGCGCATTTATAGTGACAAAGACAACCAATTAATCTACGCGCAGATTTTAAAAAAAAATAGAAAACGTCATAAATAGAAAATTGTTCAGAGTTCTTTAATAGATACAGAGAGAGACTTCAAAGACAGAAAGAAAGAAAGTACAAAGAAGACAAAGATGGGAAAACTGAGGTGGGGAGAAGGGTCGGATGATGTCAGTGAGCGGTGACTGATGACTAATGAGCTGGGGGTGGGGGAGGAAGGGAGGAAAGGGCGAGGACTCTTCATGGCCCCCCTCTCTAGGTCGCTGTCAGATATAGGTTCTTCAGAACTCTGAAAGTGTTGTAAACCACACAATCATACTGAGGAATGTTCTAGGATTTTGGAAAGATGATGATAGGAACCCTGTGATAGGAACATTATGAGATGAACCCTGGTTCCTGTTAACAACGTCCCAACCTCACTGTTTCTTGTAATTCCTGATGCCAGTACATTAATTTTAAATTCACATTCTATATTCTAAAAACATGCTGCATTTTTCTTTTATTAGGATGATTTTGTTATGTCAAATGGTGTATTTCATTTTATTTGCTTCAGTTTCTGGTGGTAAGTAGAGTTTTATCATTAGTATAACTAGAAATAGCTTTGTTCCCTGATCTGTAGATGAGAAAACAAGGGAACAGAAGCCCAGAGAGGGGTGTCCTACTATGGTTCCCAGACATGTGGGAAAATCCCACTCTATCTCCTCCAGAAAGGGAAATAAAATAGTTTCATTTATTTTCTGCTTAAGGCTCCATAGGTTTTTAAAACACAAAAGAAGCTGAGGTGAAGTAATTATTCATAATAGTAGGCTACATCTATATCTATTTATAAAACACATTTTAATGATATTTAAGAGCAATATTAAAAAGTAGAAGACTTGAGTTGCTTCACTAATTAGTCAGTTTTCCGTAGAGCAGTCAGTCCAATGCATATTTGTTTTTGTTATTAGCTGCTATTGAGTGAATCCCAACGCATGGTGTCCCCATGTGTGTCAGAACAGAACTATGCGCCATATGGTCTTCAATGGCTGGTTTTTCAGAAGTGGATCTGCAGAGATCTCCACCTCTGGGTGGGCTTGAACCTCCAACCTTGTGGTTAGCAACTGAGGGAGTTAGTCATTTGTACTACCCAGGGACTCCAACTCGTTTTATGAGGTTAGTGTAATCTTGGTGCCCAAACCTGACAGACACGTTATAAGAAAGAAAGAAAAAAAATTACAAGCCTTTATCATCAGTGAAGAATTGCCAAACTTAATCCAACAGTATATTAAGGAAAAAAACATGATTATATTGCCACAAAGTTGGGTTTATTCCAGGGATGAACAATTGGCTTAACATTTGAAAATCAATAGATGTTAAAAAAAATACTGGATAAAATTCCATTTACGATAAAAAACTGTTGGCAAGCTGGAGATAAAAGGGGAATTCCTTTGTGTATGAAAGGGTATCTTAAAGCAAACAAACAAAAAACACAAAAATCCTTCAAGAAATATCCTGCTTAATAGTGGAATATCAAACTTTCCCATAGGGTCAGGAAATAATACAAGAATACCCACAATGACTTCTATTCAACATTGTACTTGAAGTCTTATCCTGTGGAGTAAGCAAAAAAAAAGTAAAGACTTAGAAAAAAATAAATTAAATGCTTATTGTTCACAGATTACATGATTGTGTTCCTAGAAAAATCCGAAATAATCAACAAGCAGGTTATATGTGGTAATAAATTAAATCAGCAGAAATTCTGGATACAAAGTCAATATACAAAAACGAACACTTTTAGTTGTCAAAAAAACCAGATTGACCATTTTTTTACTGGCACTAAGCAGCTTATTTGGATTTTGAAAATCAATCTGTCCTGTTGGTATGGGGTATATTTTAATAAAATCAGCACCTATATTAAATATATATAAATTTACTCAATTTACCAAATAATTAATAATTTCCATGGTTAGTGGGAGTATTTCAAGGTGAAAATAGAATCTCCATTAATGGGAATCTGCCACTAAAATCCAAAATAACATGTGCCATGTGTTACATCCAGAATGTGTGACTAAGCTGTTCAAAGATACCTATTTTCAAGGAGGAGACATAACTACTGTTTTTACACCAAGCGCCAAGTACTGCCAGCTAGTCTGCACCCACCACCCACGATGTTTGCTCTTCACTTTTATGGCTGAATCATCATCTGAAGACCCTACTAAATGGTAAGTGTTACATTTCCATGTAGAGGAAATAGATTTTACGTAACAGTTACCTACTGATAAATTTCCACCTAACTAATTTATAAAATTGGAAAACAATTTGTCCTCCAATTCGGTTGAAAATTAAAGATTGAATAGTACAGAAAAATAAAAGATGGTACTCAAGCTGATTAGAGAAGAACAGACACCTTTGTTTCAGTGTGGACTTCCCAGCCTGTCTTTTGGTCTCAATATTGATGGTAAACTTGCTCTCTTATTTCTCTCGCTCTTTGCTTTTCTAGTGGGTTGATAGGAGTTACACTGGAACTTTTCTCTCAACTATTACAAAAAAATTTAAACGTAAGGATAATTTGAAAAAACAGTACAGTGATTCCCCACCACGAAGAGTCTTCGCCATGTTTAATTTGTTGTTGTTACTGGTTGTTACCCAGTGGATTCTGACTCATGGCGAACGGCTCCATAGGGTTTTCATGGCTGTCACCTTTCAGAAGCAAATCATCAGGCCTTACTTCCACAAAGCCTCTGGGTGGGTTTGAACCGACAACCTTTTGTCTAGTGGTCCAGGGTTTAACCATTTGGGCTACCCAGGGACTCTGACATGTTTGGTTTATCTATTTATATGTGTGTATATGTTTAACTGTTTGAAATAAACACCAAGGTACTTCACTCAAATTCTTCCGCATGGATTCTCCTACATAAAAGTCATGACAAATATAACAGGAATTCCTTATCTAATCTCAGTTACACCAAAATGTAATTTATAGCTATTGACCAAATTCTTAGAAAGATTTCACAAATTGTATTTGATTGTTCTGTCTCCGTAGTCATGTTTTAACATTTTGGGAACACCCCACCCACCACTTTTGTTTCCAAGCCGTTGACTTTGGAAGGAATAGGCCAGTTGTCTTGTAGAATGTCCCACATTTTGAATTTGTCTGTTTGTTTTTTAAAGTGTCATTTAACTCATCCTTCTCCATGTACTATATTCCCTGTTAACTGGAATTCAGTTGTAAAGGTTGGATTAGATTTGGAGCAAACATTTCTGGAACCAAAATTTCATAGGAGGACACTTTCAGGTCAAATATTTCTGTATCAGGAGGCACAAATTCCAGATTGTCCTACTGTTAACAGTGCTATGTCACTTCTCTTGGTCACGCAGGTGACAGCAAGCTCTCTCTACAGCCAAGGCGAAATATCACTTTTCAATAAGCTAGTAATATAAGAGGAGATATTTTGCCATTGTTTAAATGTCCTATTGTCTGGGAAACTTTTGAGGAACAATTTTGAACTTCAAAACTCGATAAAAACCTTCTAAAGAATTAAGTTATCAGGATCTTTGTGTATTCTTGCTACATTCACAGACATTTACCTAGAACCCCAAACTTATAAAATTCTAGAATCTGGAGCGGGGGTTGGCAAGCTTTTTTTGAACGAGTCAGAGAGCAAGATCCACAGGCAAAACTGAGATGTTATGTAAGTACTAATATAACCATTTAAAATATTTTTTATGGCTGTACAGATTAGGCAGTGGGTTGCGTTTGGCCCACGGGCTTTAGTTTACAGCCCACTGATCTAGAAGTCTGTTTCCTTGTAAGAAAGGTGTTAAATATGTTTTTTAAAATATAACAAAAAACAAACTCCTAATTTTGCTAAAAAATATGTATTTGTGTTGGCATGAGATAGCAGTAGTTGATTTCCTTGTTTTTGGCTTTCTGTGCGCTGACTTTTACGTCCCATTCTTTTAAAACATACATTCTGACCCAGGAATGTTATTTTTGTTTTTAAATAGGTTTACTTGTGTCCTGAAAGACACTGTGACTGAAACCCTGCCGATGGTGACTATGTCAGGGGCAATTTCTGGATATTCTTCCAAACAATGTCCACACCAAATAAGTGGTAAGATCTTTGGTTTAAATTAATAAATACTAGCTATTGTAGCCCTCGACGAGATGGGTTGCCGCAGAGTCTGCAACAGTGTTCTCAAACATAACAACAATTGTGAGGATGGCACAGGACCGGGCAGTGTTTGGCTCTGTTGTACATAGTGTTGCTATGAGTAGGAACTGACTCAACGGCACCTAACATCAGCAATAACGGTTATTGTGATGTACGCAGTAGTTACATAAGATAGTTTTATGACTATAAAACAAAACCCTGATATATGGAAATAAACCCCTCAAAGTTCTTTCAGTGTAGAGTAAAAAACAGCACTCATGCATACTCTCTCCTAACACACACACACACACACACACACTGTAGTTCACTAAAATGTCTTTACTTCATGGAAAGATGTATCTTACTACCTCAGTTCATATTTGTTTATTTTCTTTCTTCTTCCCAACCTAAAATTTTATATGAAAGGCTTTATTAAACATATCAATTCAAATCAAATGTGTTGTGATAACACTTGACTTAATGGTGAAATAGATATTTTAACAGATGAATTAGTGAATCAATCAATCAGTGGAGCTAAGGAGAAGAGAGAAGAGAGAGGTCAGCTCGGAAAATCAAAACAGAAATTTACACGCCTAATATTGTTGCAAAATATGGAGGACATTGGCATTATTCTATTGCTTTCCTGTGACAGTAGGAATTAAGCAGATTAAAACACAACACAACAAGGTCTTCTGAGGCAAAGTGAGTCAAAGAGTTGAAAGAGTATTTCAGGAGGAAGAGTTGCTAAGGTAGAAATATGGGAGCTGCCCCTGAGAAAACTGTATTTTTTACTTTTATGTCCAGCATGCAATAAAGATCTTTATGAGAATCTAGACATGAAGGGCATGAACTATAAGAGCTCTGTTGCCAAGTCTGCTCAGGAATGTCAACAGAGATGCACAAATGACATCCACTGTCACTTTTTCACTTACGCCACGTGGAAGTTTCCCAGCGTGCAGCATCGGTGAGTGAGCTCGGAATACCGCGTGAGGGTGTCCAACGAAACATAAAATAGTGATTCACTAAAAAAAAGTTTTTTTAATCCACTTGATGTTAAAATTTATATTTTTAAAGCCTAAAAGACTTTTCTATATAGCTATTGCTAGTTTTCTTCATAAAAAATGCCTTTAAACCAAGCTTTAACTTGGTTTCTTTACATTTATTGTAAGGAGTCTTTCTTTTAATATGCTGTTATCAAAAAAAATAAAAAAGTGCTTAATCCATCTCCTAGCTAATTTCAAAAGTGCTACATTTTTAAATGGACATTTTTGAAACAGTTCGAATCAGTCTGATTGTGCCCTTCCCAGCCTAAAGAAGGGGATAGTCTAACACTATAGAGTAAAAAATAAAAACCTATATATCTCTGTCTTCCAATAACAGTTCTGTAACAAAGACAAAACAGCTGAAGCCTGTGTGAGATGTCTGACTCTGCTCTATACTAGATCTTGATGCATTTCAGTAATAAATTGATTGGATAAGAATTTAAAAATGATCTCATCTCTAGTTAGTAATGTGTGTTCTCTTCATTCAAAATGTGTTAGGGAATCATGTCATTAGTTTTGTTTCTATTTAGAAATATTTGAAGTGTTCTCGATTTGAATAAGGAGCCCTGGTGGTGCAACAATTAAGCACTTGGCAGATAATTGAAAGGTTGGAGGTTGGAACCCACCCAGCAGCTTTGTGGGAAAAAGACCTGGTGATCTCTTACCATAAAGATTACAGTCGAGAAAACCCGAGGGGGCAGTTCTACTCTGTCACATGGGGTTGCTATGAGTCAGAATCTTCTTGACAGCACCCAACAACAGATTTGAAGAGCAAACTACATTTGTCAGAATCCGATGGAAAAAGTGAAATAAGTTCAAATTACTAGTATTTGAATTTTAACATTAGATTTTAACATTCTGCTTTCCATGTTCACAAGAAGTGAAAAGCAAATAAATCTATCAAAGATTTATTCCAAAAACAACAATAAAAAAAGAAAACAAAACCCAAAAATTAATCATTCATCTTTCATGGCTTTTCTTTTGCTCAGCTCAAGCTACAACTTTTATATCTAAGACAATACAATGTGAATGCAAGACAGGAAATTGTGAGTTCCTAGGCATTGTTTAAAAAAAAGGTAAAATGTTAAAACTGAGAAGGGCTTGAGAAGCTGTCAGTTCACTACTCCTGTCACTGTGACCCACCCTCAAGCCGCCATGTTACTGAGGAAGACATAAAGTTAGCAGCCTTCACATGACCACGTGGTAGTGCATGTCAGCTGTCCAGCCTCTTAGATGAACTTTCCAGGGTGATTCCTTTCCTCTACTGCACCTGGGAGCCCTGGTGGTGCAGTGGTTAAGAGCTTGGCTACTAACCAAAAGGTCAGCAGTTTGAATCCACCAGCTGCTCTATGGAAACCCTATGGGGCAGTTCTACTCTGTCCTATAGGGTCACTATGAGTAGAAATCGACTCCCTGGCAATGGGTTTTTTTGTTTTACTGCACCTGGGGTCGCTTTGGAGCCCTGGTGGCGTGGTGGTTAAGAACTCAGCTGCCAACCAAAAGGCCGGCAGTTCGAATCCACCAGCCGCTCCTTGGAAATCCTATGGGGCAGTTCTAGTCTGTCCTATAGGCTTGCTACGAGTCGGAATCCACTCAACAGCAATGGATTTTCGGGTTTTGGGATCGCTTTGAGTCAGAATCGACCCCATGCCAATGGATTGTAATGCCCAGTTTGTCTCTCTAAACAGGAATTTATTATTTACATCTTTTCCTACTTGTTGGAAGAATAAAAAATGTTTCTTTTTTTAAATTCAGTAACATTTGTATACTGAAGTACACCCAAACCGGGGCACCATCCAGAATAACGAAGAACAATGAAGTAGTGTCTGGATTTTCATTGAAATCGTGTTCACTTTCTAGTCTGGGTAACTATTGTTTTCTTAACGAGCTGGTTTAACCATCAAATTGTAAGTGCTGATAATATGTTCAATAGACCGAATTTGGGATACCAATGTATGCTCGTCGATGGAAGGGACCCACAGTGTTTTCCCTTCTCCGTGTGATAAGTTTCATCATGTCCTATATAGTTAGTGCTTATATCTTATAGTTCAAGTTTAAAATAATCACCTCAGTTTTTCTAAATTAAAGACAAAATTTAAAAATCTCAGGATAAACACACTTTTTGGTATGGAATTTTCCGCAAATACCATAACTGGGATTTTACTGATTTTGTTGGAGACTTGATTTCCTCACATTCTTTCTTCTCTCACACAGATTGTATTAGGGACATTTTCCCTGGCACAGGGTTTGCAGACAGTAACATTGACAGCGTCTTGGCTCCAGATGTTTTTGTCTGTCGTCGCATTTGTACTCACCATCCCAATTGTTTATTTTTCACTTTCTTTTCCAAAGAATGGCCAAAAGAATCTGAAAGGTAAGGGGTTAAGATTATGAATAATTTGTCATCTTTTAAAAACAGCTGATCAAAATCTGAGTCATTAAGAATTCTGAGTCATTAAAATTTTAATCTAAAAGTTTGTATCGGATAAATGCTGCAAAGAATTCCTGGCCCCTCTCTCTTTTTATTCCTGACCTACTGACCACTAATTCAGTGTTAACAAGGACACTTGTTTTCCCTTAGCTTAGGAGGCCTCAGCCTTTGGCAAGCAGATTGTCTAGTTCTGAATGGAATGAAGAAAGCAAGGATGCCCTTTAAAAGACAACTTAGTCAATTGCCCTGTTTCAGGTCATTGAGCCAGGAGCAGAAGGAGCGGGTAATCCAAAAACCAAATCCTCAGTGGAGAGGGGTGGAAATAAAGACCTATATCAAGGAGGGGGAGGTGGAGTTTGAGAATTGGGATTCTGTTTCCCTACTGATGGGCCCACCACTCGTCTGTCAGTTTGTCATACTGAGGTGGCTTGCGTGTTGCTGTGATACTGGAAGCTATTTCAAATACCAGCAGATCACCCTTGGTGGACAGGTTTCAGCACAGCTTCCAGACTAAGACTAGGAAAAGCACCTGGTGGTCTACTTCTGAAAAAACCGGCCAGTGAAAATCTTATGGATAGCAGCAGAACATTGTCTGATATAGTGACGGAAGATGAGCCCTTCAGGTTGGAAGGCACTCAAAAGACACAGTGGGTGCAGTAATGGGCTCACACATAACAATGATTGTGAGGATGGTGCAGGACCGGGCAGTATTTCATTCTGTAGTACGCTGGGTCACTGTGAGTCGGAAACGACTTGACGACACCCAACAACAACTGATGGGTACTGACGTGGAAAACCATAACAAGGCAGGGAAATTTCTCGGATCACAAAAGGACACTTGTTGGAGCTGCTGCTTTTCATCAATAAGATTCACCAAAAAAAAAAAAAAAAAAACCTTAAGACTAGGTAAGCTTCTAGACCTGGATTTCTAGATGCTACCTGGACCAGAATCCTCAGAGCCCTTGGCATATGCTTGACTTGGCCACCCATTGTTGGGGAAAGGGTCTCCCAGAGCAATCTAGCCAACCTTGCCAATCCTTTGAGTAAGGCTGTAATTTCAGAAGTCCCAGGTTTGTCATGCAAAAATATGTCTGTTACCTTCCTCTACTCAACAAATTTAATATTCTTTATTTAGTGCCTACTATGTGCCAAGCAGAGCCCTGATGGCACAGTGGAAACAGAGCTTGACTGCTAACCAAAGGGTCAGCAGTTCAAATCCACCAGCTCCTCCTTGGAAGCCCTATGGGGCAGTTCTACTCTGTCCTATAGGGTCATAATGAGTCAGAATCGACTTGACGGCAGTGGGTTTCGTTCTTTGGCACAGGAGGTGGGTGAGTTTGGGTTTGATTTGGATATGCCAGGCACTGTTTTAAGCACTGAGGATACCATTAGTGAAGAAAATAGATTTAAAAAACAAAACAAAACAAAAAAATACTTGCCCCAGTAGAGGGCACATTCTTATGGGAGACATAGACAATAATTAAAATTAAAAAGATAATATTGTATGTTTGATGGTGATAAGACCTATGGAGAAATAAAGAAGGGAAGGGGGATACAGATTTTTAGGGAGCTCATAAAATTTTATAATTTTAAGTAGGGTGTTCAGATAACACCTCACTGTAAAGATGACATTTGTTCAGACACCTAAATGAAGTAAGGCAGCAAATTGTATGACTATCTATGAGAAGAAAATGTCCAGGACAAGTGCATAGGTCCAGAGGCAGGCTCATTCCAGGTATGGGTGAACAAGTAGGCTCATGTGGCTGGAGTGGAGTGAGAGAAAGGGAGAATGTTAGGACCTGAGGTCAGATAGCATGGGGTAGGAGAAGATTATGTAGTCCTACAGGATTTAACAATTTAGGTTTTTTTACTGAGTGAGATGGGAAATGATTGTGAGTAGTGGAATAACATGAGTAGATATACTTTTTTATAAGAAAACTCAGGTTAATGTGTTGAGAAAAGACTGTAGGGGTAAGGGTTCAAAGCCAGACCAAGGAGAGTATTACAAAAACCCATGGGGCAGGAGATACTAGTTGCTTGGAGCTGTGTGGAGGTGATAGATAGAGAAGATTCGGATTTATTGACAAGGTAGAACAAACAGGATTTTTGATGGATTGGATGTGGGATGTGAAGGAACGAGCAAGTGATAGCTCCAAGATTTTTGGCACCAAGAATTGGAAGGATGGAAATGCCATTGACTGAGGTGTGGAAGATTACACGAGGAACAGATTTCAGGGGATGATCAGGAATTCTGTTTTGGAAAGGTTAACTTAAGATGCCTGTTGGACATCTAAGGAGCCCTGGTCACCAAGGGGTTAAGCTCTTGGCTGCTAACCGAAAGATCAGGGGTTCAAAGATTGCAGCCTTGGAAACCCTACGGAGCAGTTCCACTCTGTCTTATAGAGTCGCTGTGAGTCAGAATTGACTGGACAGCAATGAGTTTGGTTTTTTATTGAACATCCCATCCAGGGAGAGATAGGGCAATTGGAAATGA